AAAGTAAATTAGAAGAAACACACTCACACACCACACCACAAACACACATACAGGCGCAGTGAAATCGCGTTGAAAAAATAATTAAATCAACCATGATTTTAAACTATGTATTATCAATATTCATTATTCCAAACATGAGAAAGCATTCAGCAAACATAACTGGAATCGAGCAAAAGGACTCCAAATCCCAACGGCCATTAATACCTTCAACTTCACAATAATAATAAAAAAATCATTAAATCAACCATGATTTTAAACTATGTATTATCAATATTCATTATTCCAAACATGAGAAAGCATTCAGCAAACATAACTGGAATCGAGCAAAAGGACTCCAAATCCCAACGGCCAAACCCGGAAGTGAAGTGCCGGCATTATTGACTCCAGCTGTAACGCAAATTACTTGGTTCAAACAAACATTCTAGTGCCACCGCACAAACGTGACGACTGTGCAAAAATAACTACATAAAAGACACCACTGTTACAGAAAGACTTTACACGCTATTTAATCTGCCGATCCCGAACGGAACAAACCGTGATTGAAACTAACTGTGATGCCGCTCTTTATTCGTTGCGCTAACTGTCACCTGTCAGTGGCAGACCCGCCCCTTTTAAAGCGCCAGCTTAATCCATCAATATGGGTTTCCCTGAATGGAATTTATTCGATTCCTTCGTGATTTTTGCGGTCCTCGGACCCACTTTATACCTATGCACAAAGGATTTGAGGCTCTAATCCCTCATTGTGTCCGAGGACCGGCAACCCGAGGCCAAGGCCAAGGCCAAGGACTTGACTCCCAAGGCCAAGGCCAAGGACCAAGGACCGACCTTCGGTCCTCGAGCCGGTCCTCGAGGCTAAGGACCGGCTCGAGGAACACATCACTGATGATTTAACAGCAGTGATCTTGGTGGCATCTCTGCCTATCATTGAAGCTTTTAACTCCTCATCCAATCGGGCGTGGGGTTTCATTGAACAGTTCTCCTTTTAGATGGAGCATCTTTGTCTAAGTTGACAAAAAGAGTATTAAAAATAGAAGAGGTAAACTCTGGTTTAGATTCTCAGTCAACATTGTCCCAAATGAGGTGTGTTGGAGGAGGGAAACATCTAAAACATGCACGTTGGTTGATACCCCGCTCTATAATTTTAATCTTTAATAAATTTAGGCCTCAGTATTTATTTTGTCATCGAAAAAAACTATGAATAAATGGAAGTGATTGGTGAAATAGAAGTCAATGACAGTAGTAGTAGTAGTAGCCATGTTGGATTGGTGAAACAAGTCATGTGATCATCAGTCTTGCTGACACACCAGAATAGATCACGCAAGAATTATAAGTAGCAGTAGATAAAAAAATAAAAGTAACAAGAGAAATGTAGCTTGATGAATCTGAGTTAGCCAAGTATTTCTTTACCAAAATACTCAAGTAAAGAGTAGGTTGACTTAAAATTATCCTCACAATTATGATTCATTCAACAAGATACTTAATTGCAATGGACTAACTGTGTAGCTTGCTGCCTCACATTTCTGTTGAGGGTTCCGAGGTCTCTGGTTTGAATGAGTAGCAAGCGTGTTAAATTTGGTGTGATCACTCTCATACTGGTCACTGCAAGTTCAATGTAGCATTTAACGGCAAAAAATTCTCTGAGTATCGGAAAAAGAATCGCTCTCCATAAAGATGGACGAGGCAATCTTTTTGTTGCCTACACCCTGAAATTGAGTTCCAGCACAAACAATGGCTACAGCGGTTTAACAAGACAGGTATCACTCAGAACCGGCCCTGAAAAAAAAAAGTACTGCATTGTAAACTGTATATTTTACAACACATGTAAAGAAATAAACTTTTAGTTGTTTTATTTTTTGCGCAGGGGTGGGGGGTTGGTTAATAACCGCAAAGCCAAACACATACGCTTAAATTGAGGCATTTGTAAGTCAAGGGACTGTGCGTTACAATGTAAAAAAAGTGTCATAAAAAAAAAAAAACAATTGTTAAAGTACATCCAAAAATGTGATGGGTGGTCCCTTTTGTGAGATACTTCATGTGTTTTCAATTTTGAATGCGTTTTTAAAAGATAGTTTTTTGGGGGAAAAAACCCAGTTGTCTTCACAAACCAAGGGGTGCGATGAAAACAAGCTCCAAAGCTTGGTACGACACTATTTTGCATAGCTTTACTTAGCATGTGCTTTGTTTCACAGTTTACCGGACATTTATCAATCCCTGCTACTGCATTTGTCCTTTATCTCCTGAATCATGGGGCAGAGTTAACACCCGCAAACCAAGTGTTATTTCCTGTGATAAATGTCAAAAATGTCTCACAAAAAAACATTTTTCGCTGCAGAGGATTTCTTAAAGTCAATGTCATGCAAAACCACCCTGATGTGTGAAGAAACGAATACTATGTCTAGTCAACGTAGACCTTCTGTAACCCCAATCTATTTCTGATATTAACAGCTGTACTGTTTCACATAACTTTATTTTTTTGCCCTCATTTTCATTCATCTCCATTTTCCGTTTCCCTTTTTTTTTGCCTGAACACCCGTTGTTTGAAGAAGCAACAGTCTTCCGTTGTGTGTTGTCAGGATCACAACTATGGTGCACCCCCTCCTCCCACCCCACCCGCTTCCCCCCTCGCTCAAACCATCATTCGTCGAATGGATCTCAATGGCGTGGTACGCAGTTCCCGCTATTTCCAAACTACAGAGGACAACTCAGCAGACAGTGATAGCTCCTCAGAGGAGGATGGGGCTATAGCCAACTGGTGTCACTGCACCCTGATGCCAGACGGCTTGCTTATCAAATGTGACAACTGCAGGTGAGACATGGAGAAGGTGCCCTGTTCTGTATGGGAGCATGTTTTGTCAGCAAGCTGCCTTCTCACAGTTTGACCAATAAAATTTGAAAAAACAATGGGAACTGAAGGTTCGTAATGATTCCACTGTTGGCAAAAGCCTCACCATATACACCCCCCTCCAAAAGTTCGGCGATGGATGAATATGAGACAAGTAATGATTATATCTGCTTTTATTTCATGGTACTGCATCTGATACACCAACTTAGAAGCACCATTTGTTTCAACTCGCAAAGCTTTTCTTTCCCCTCGGTTCCCTAATTAACCGATGGGAAAATGAAGATCAAAAACATTGGCAATGGCCTGAAGAAAAAGCACTGGTGTACTTGGTATAAAAGACGTAAGGTAACGAAAATAACAGTGATTGACGAAAACAACTGTCATAATGTACACAAGAATGTGAGTGAAGGTGTCATTTCTATTCATAGAAAACTCCATGAACAAATGTACAAAGGCTACACTAAGGGATGCAAACCATTCATTCGAAAAGGATTCAGAAAGGCCGAGTGGAATATGCCGAAAAATAACAAGACAAGCCTAAACAATTCTGGAACCTTGACCAAGGGTTTGAACCTAAAGTGACCTGGCGATCCTTCAGCATGCTTCAAAGTCATGACCCAGAACACATTGCCAAAACAACAAAAACGATCATCAAGGTCAAGAAGTGGAAGGCTTTAAATTAGCAGTCAGTCTCTCCAGACTTTAACCAGATGGTGTGCATTTTCCCTGCTGAAGAGGAGACTGAAGGAAGTAACCCACAAAGCACACAACTGAAAATTAAATATGAAGCCTTTTGACTTTCATCTATTTTAACTACATCTTCTCTTACACTTTTTCTCAGCTAAAAATTGGGTGCATCACGCACATGCTATAGTTGTGGATGAGTTCCAGATGTAAATATATTCAATCCCAGCAAAGGGCCAAAAGGAAATGGCCTTGCTGTTCCAATATGTTTGCAGGGGGCTGTACACTTAATGTTTGTGTTTTTTTGACTGATTTCCCTTGTATCCAAACGAGCAATAATATCTATTCGTAATGTTGTTTTGGCTATTCTCTTGTTTCAGAGGACTTAACGGGAGGAAAGGAACAGATGGCCAGCACAGGAAAAATGAAAATGTCTCAGGTATTTGACTTTTTTTCCCTTCACCACTTTCAGTTCAGTTTTTGTATCTGTTCAGATCATTCCAGCCAAACAACGTACTTGTGCTTTCTTGGTAGCTGGAGAGAGCAGTGCTACAGAGAGTGGTGATGAAGAAGTGTCACCTTCCACCATCTCTTACACTGCCACCCAGCATACACCTACCAGCATCAAACTTACTGTCAACAGAGTTAAAAGAAGTAAATCGAAAAAGAGGAAAAAGAGTACGGAAAAAGCCAGTGGAACACCAAAGGGCAAGAAAGTCAAAGTATGCAAAAATATTTCACGGTACTATTTGCCACATCTCTGAAAAAAGTACATAATTTTAATTGAAGTTATGCATTCTCTCAGGCTTTTAGAGAGGGTTCACGGAAGTCGATGAGGATGAAGGTATGACTGGCGTACAGTATAAATGAAGTGGGGTTTGTATTTGTGCCACTTTGAGTTTCAAGCATCTTTTCTTTTGTCAAGAACTTGACAACAGAGGCCAGTGTGCTGGACGAGAACACAACAGAGGGATGGGAGAGTAGAATCCGCCAGTGGACAGAACAATATGAGGAGGCTTTGGCCAACCAGTATAGCTCTGACATCCAGACTTTGCTCCAGCTTCACCACACTGCCAGAACTACTGTTGGAAACACAGAAAGTGGACGTACGAGTCTTCCATCCACTTCACCGACATCCGTTGACGCCATGGACACTATCAACCGCACCGAGCTGGCCTGTAACAACACTGTGCTCGGCTCGCAGATGCAGGTTGGCCCAATAATTATATTCATTTACAATATTTAACATTGTCGTGGACCGCCGCTCTACATGGGGGATAGGGACTGGGCTGGTCCGCAAATTGTGAAAATATCCGTATGATTGACGCCCATTCTAAAAGGACCGGAATATACAGTGGTAGCTCAACTTATGAACTTAATTAGTTCTGTGATCCTGTTTGTAACTCAAAGTGTTCATAAACCAAGGTCAATTTTCACATTGAAATGAGTGGGAATGCAATTAATTTCTTCCACCCCCTAAATTGTTGAACATTGGAAGCTGGAGTTAAGAAAGTTCTTTTTGTGTACAGTTTGGGTTAAGTTCCAAATTTTCGGAGAAATATTACCTCTATTTACAGACTATTTTCAATACAGTATAGGAATGTTCATAGCTTGGACAAGCGGATGGATCTATGTTGTCATTCTAATTGCACTGTGTAACCATCAGCACTACTGTAATTGCGAACATTTCACAGATTGAACTGCAACATATACACTAGCGTGTATCATGGGTCACTTGAAACTTTTTTTTTTATGTTTGTAGCTGCAGTTAGGACGTGTAACGCGTGTGCAGAAACACAGGAAGATCCTTCGTGCCGCCAAGAACCTTGATCCTGACATCCTCATTATTGAGTATAGAGGGAAGGTCATGCTCAAGCAACAGTTTGAAGTCAACGGGCATTTCTTTAAAAAGTAAGTATGACTTTTCGTGACTTCCAAAACCAATTTCATATCTGTCCTTGTCAGACCACGGCAGAGTTTTCCACTTTGCGTCCATCCATCTCAGAAGAGCTTTGGCCCAGTGAAGCCATGGCGGTCTCTGGGTTTTCTTGATATCAGGCTTTCACTTTGATTGTTGAGCGTTTGTAGATGAGGCTAGTATTATAAAATAACCACATTTGACATTGTAAAAAGTACATTTTATTCACTGCTAAGATTTTCTTTTGACAAAAATGGACTGAATTTGACTGAACTGCTCATTGACAGGGAAGTTATTTAAGTTCAATTATTTTTAGTGGAAGTGTTTTCAACAGAATAACTAGTAATATGCACCATCAAGAACAACGCTGTAATGACACAGGTGGTGAAGTACAATTTCTATGTCTTTTAGGCCCTACCCTTTTGTACTCTTTTACTCCAAATTTAATGATGTTGAGATGTGTGTGGATGCAAGGACCTTTGGAAATGACGCACGCTTTATTAGAAGGTCCTGCACACCCAACGCTGAGGTGAGTTACGAATGGTGTTTATTATGACCTCATAGGTTGCCATCTTGTTTCTCCTTCATTTATTTCGAAGTTCTTAGTTTGTCTGTTTTTTGGTGAGTCGTGTATTGACTTCTTTCTCAGGTGCGACATATGATTGCTGAGGGTATGATACATCTGTGTATCTATGCTACTAGTCAAATCACAAAGGACACTGAGGTCACTATTGGATTTGATTATGAGTTCAACAGCTGGTCAGTACTGCTTCTCACGATTCAGTATACTTCACTCACCCTCGCTGAATTGATCACAATTTTGTTCTTTGACATTTCCTAACTCAAACAACACATTTCTTGGTTGGATGGATGCTAGCTAGCCTTTTCACTGGGTTACTTGCTGCCTTTTATTGGCACGTTCTCCAGTCAATACAAGTCTTCTGTTCTCATATCAATCCATCAGTAATTACAAGGTGGACTGCGCTTGCCATAAGGGGAACCAGAATTGTCCTGTGCAGAAACACAACATGAGCCCCAGGGAGAGCTTGCCGAGTACCCCCACAGTACCACCGCCCTCTCCTTTGATTGGTGCTGAGACCCGGCAGAGAAAGGCCCGCAGAAGAGAGCTCGAGGTTTGTCCAGAGAGCAATCAGGCTATCCAGCACCAAGAGGCCAAAGAGCTGCAAGGAAGCAGTGATGCAGAGGTATGTGGCTGATAGTGATGTTTTTCCCCCCAATGCATGTGATTATCATGAAGGTTAAACAGCAACGTGGTTTAGTTGCCCCACAAGCATTACACACCACCAAATAGTAACCTGTCACAGCTGCATATCCTGCCCCAAAACACACTGGTGCTTTGTGATTGGTCCACACCACCTTGCTTTTGTTACCCTATAAGGTTAATTCCTGATGTGCTATATGTCTGTGATTTTAGGGAGCGCTGGATGAAGTGAAGATAGAAGAGGCTGAGGAAGGAGAGGTGGATGAAAACGAAATTGTCATCCCCAATAAAAAAGTATGATATTAATTTGTCTCCATTTAAAAGTTATTCATTTTGATTATTGTTCATGCTGGGGTTTTTTTCATTAAAATCATACTGCACTCATTTTGTTCAACTCTTGTCTCCGAATTTAGACATTGAACAGTCTGGAAAAGAGGCGGCGAAAGACGGTAGCAGATGTAAAGGAGGATGGTGTAGAAACAGAAGAGGGGACAAGAGCCACCCCCATCCCCCTTAACACAGGGATAGGCATTAGCACACGACGTACTACCTATGTCACGGTCAGTATTGGTCTTAAAAAGATCTTAGATTTTCCCTTGTCCAGACCCCAGATTTAATTCCATTTCTATTTTCTATAGGAAGCACCGTCTATTGAAGAAAAGTCCTCATTACCAAATCTGCCTCCCCCGGCTCCCCCTCCTAAACCCGCTCGCTCTTCTAAACCTCGTCCCAAGAGCCGAATGTCTCGCTATCGCTCCAGCTCATCCCAACGTGCCAGGCGGCAGCGTCAAGCACTCGCCCAGCAGGCTGCTGCTGCTACAGCAGCAGCTCCTTTAGTTGAGCAGAGTGCTGGTCTTGATGAGGAGGTTTCTCATGGCCCATATGCTTCTGAGCTGGGCCAAGGGGAGAGTGGGCTGGCCACTGGTCAGCTCTTGGATGGAGATGGCCAGGGTCTGAACTGCATCAACAGAGGCAACTTGCGTTACCCCAAAACCAAAAAGGTTAGAGAAGATTCGATTTTTAAGTTGTTCAAATAATTCTTTGTGAAGCAACAGCATAACGTATGATTTGCCCTGTTGCATGTGTTCAGACAGACTGCTTTTCAAAATGAATGCGATATTTTCATACAAAAATGCACAGCTCAAGGTTAAAGCTGAGATTGGTAGGTATAGTTTCCTGCTACAATTTTTTCAACTCACATTGATCATACGTGTGAAAGATCTAATTTTATCCCACGCGGATACTATAGATTTATACAGTAGTTTTATGTCCGCCATCCTAGAGGTTATTTTGTGCAGTAAGTACACGGCATACTTTCATTTGGATCCTGGTCAGAATTTGCCTGTTCATAGCAATACATGAAGAGCTAAACATGGACCAGCATTTTGACAATGTTAAGAATTAATTGTTCCCATTTTGATGTCATTTAAAGAACAGTTTGATTTGAAATTCAGAAAACAATAATGATGATAATGTAGTGGTTAGTTGGAGCTGCCGGCACGGTTACAAAAAAACTTCTCACCTCATTTAGTAGAACTGTTGTGCATTAAACGGTTCAGTTTCTAAATTTCTTAACCCATTTATCGGTGAGAGTCAACTTATTAAAAACAATACTCAGAAGAATGTTGTGCAGTTCAACATCCCTACTGAAACTGCACCCCAAAAAATATTTTGTGGTGACTGTGATTTTGTTTTGTAGAACATTGTGATACATTAGTATATGTATGTGATCAGACAGTTGTGGCCAATCAGTGAATATGAAAGGAGAAAAACAAATGTAGTCTTTCAACTTTTGTGAAACTGTATGCCTAGTTATATTTGGCGTCAAGCATCGGTTGCCTTTGCTCAACCGTTATTGAGCAAAGGCTCCTATTTTACATTTGAAAAAGGCCAGCGGGGGAGACAAAATCTCTCCAGTGTGTCCTGAGTCATCCCCGGGCCCTGCTCCCAGTGGGTCTTGAACACCTTACGAGGGAGGCGTCTAGGAGGCACCCTAACCAGATGCCCGACCCACCTCATTTGTCTCCTCTTGATGCAGAGCCACTCCCAGATGACTGAGCTTCTCACCATTTTGCTAAGGGGAAATCCAGACACTTTCTGGACTCATTCCAGCCTCATGTGTCTGTGATCTTGTTCTTTCGGTCAGGGCCCACAGCGTGTAACCATAGGTGAGGGTTGGGAATGTAGATCAAACAGTATGTTGAGACCATTTTTCTTCAGCTCAGCTCCTTCCTTCTTCACCAAGAGAGTCTGTTGCAGCATCCACATCAGTGCAGACCTTCCACCAATCCACCTATCGATCTCATGGCAAAGGTTGTTGAACTCCTCCACTCGGGGTACGATCTCATCCTCGACCTAGAGAGGGCACTCCACCCTTTTCAAACTAAGGATATTAGCCTCAGATTTGTAGGTGCCGATTCTAATCCCAACCACTTCACACTTGGCAATGATCTGCTCCGGCTTGATGAAACCAAAACAGAACCACAACAACCACATGAGGCAGAATGAGAGATGAAATACTGAGATCCTCAAAACGGACTCACTGAATGCCTCGGCTGCTCATAGAAATGAAGTCCATAAATGTTATGAATGGAATATGTGGCAGAGCAGCCATAGCAGGCTCAAACCACGACTATTAAGATATCCTTTATTTGTCCCACACTGGGGAAATTTACAGTCTACAGCAGCAAGATTGTGAGTAGAAAGAAGAAAGAAGAAAAACAAAGTGTTTGCATTCACAAAATAAATGTACACCATTCAATTAAGTGCAATATAAATATAGATAAGGTGGCTGTGCTATTTACAGTTGTTTTTCACATCATTTTATTTTTTATTCAGCAGCCTGACAGCAGTCGGTAGGAACGAGCAGCGATATCTCTCCTTCTTGCAGCGTGGGTGTAACAGTCTCTACCTAGTGCTGTCAGGGCGGGCTGGAAGGGGTGGGAGGGACTGTCCATCATAGCTTTTAGCTGTTGCCCACCTCCAGAGTGTCTAGGGAGTAGCCCAGGACAGAACTGGCCCTCCCCACCAGTCACTCCAGTCTCTTTCTGTCCCGGGCCGAGATGCTGCCTGACCAGCAGACAATGCCATAATGGATGGCCAAGGCCACCACCGAGTTATAGAAAGTCTTAAGGAGTGACCCCTGAACCCCAAAAGACATCAGTTTCCTGTGTAGGAAGAGTCGGCTCTGTCCTTTCCTAATCAGGGTGTCCGTGTTAGTTGACCAGTCCAGTTTATTGTTGAGAAGAACACCTAGGTACTTGTACCTAAGTACCTAGGTACTATGAAAGAGTATGACCTACTCTCAAGAATGTAAACCAAAGGCTGAAACCAGTCATACAGAAATTGAACAGCCCATGTTAGGGGATCCCATACTCACAGAGCATCCCAGACCCAAGAGAATTTAGAAATTCCAGGCAGATGTCATCCACCCATGGGGGCAGAGGAACTCTTAACCACCTCAACCCCAAACTAGAGGATTCCATCTCAGGATCCCCAGACTTTGCTTCTTCACAGGAAGGCCCAAATCGAGGTTAGCAACAAACACCCACATATCACTTTACATATGTTGATGGTGCATTTTTTCCCCATCCTAAAACGCCAGATGATGGACCAGAATTTCCTCAAAGCTGTCTCGTTGTTCTCCATTGCTTAACCGGACCCCAGCCCCAGCCCCTCCTTTTTGTCTCAGTGACCACCAGAGGTGCATTTTGATTGGCCTCCCGTACCCATCAGCTGCTAACACAACAACAAATAGTCATCAGTTAACAGCCGCCTTCTCTTCAATGTCCAAGACATGCAATTCCAATGGGACTTGCACAGACTTGATCATCGAACTGAGGCTGAGGGTGTCCTGGTATCACATTCACGTATGGACACCATATTTGAACATGGTATTCATGTTGGAGAATCCATGAAGAGCAGAAAGTTCAAAAACAAAGCACATCCTGAATTTCCACTCGGGAGTGGGGGGTTCCTTCCAATCATGTCCTTCCAGGTCTCACCGTCATTACACATGTGAGCGTTGAAGTCCTCCAGCAGAATGGACTCCCTACGGGGGTGCCAGAAGACACCCTCCCCCCCTCAAAGATGACAAAAAAGGGTGGGACTTTGATCTGCTGGTTGCTGCATAAGTACAAGCAACAAACAGTCAGGACTCGTAGCCCCACCCAAGTCAGAGGGAGGCTACTCTCGCCTATTGGTGTTAACCCTGAGGTACAGACATTCAGGGGTGCGCTAATAAGTATGCTTGCACCTGCTGAGGGCCTCTTATCAGGGCCACCCCAGAATGGAAAATAGCCCAACCCCTCTCAAGATCACCAAGTCCAAGTGTGTCAAGGCGAGCCCAACCTTATCAAGTATGAACGAATCAGACACGAGCTCAGGTTCGTTCCCTGCCAGAGAGGTGTCTCATTTCCCGAGAGCTGGCTTCCGTAGCTGGGGAGCAAACCGTCAAGGTCCTCGCCCTCTGGTACTCTCCAACCTACAAACAGAGATGAAAGTCCTCCGGATTTTCCCGGTATTTCGGGTTTTTCAAATTTTTATGAAAATTTCTCCGGACAATTGAGGAAAATAAAATTAATCCGGATATTAGTTGACAACATTGGACGAAGACGCGTTTGAGTTCGTTGTATTGCTTTCACGAGCGTAGCCATATTGAGGCACTAACACTAGTAACAGTAAAAAGATTTTTGTTGGTGTAATAACGACAGAAGACATGATGGCGTTTGACTAATGGTTTAGTAGAACGAATGCCAACTCGCAACAACAGTAGCAAGCGTCATTTTGCCACTTTGGGTTATACCATCTCAACTAGAATTTGGGGCATAGTCCCCAAACAATTTTCGTCTCTTTATAAACACACTTGCTAAACCCCAGTGGAACGAATAAAAGACGCCGTGGACAAGACAGTTGTCGTAAAAAAATATATTTGGCCAAAAAGGGAAAAACACAGATTGGCAGAAAATCGTGTCCGTCCGACTTCGAGTGTCGTCTCGGCTAACTTAGCTTAGCTGTTGTCGTCTGTTGAGTGGAGTCGCCACAACAGTAATACCCTCGCCTCGCATTCTCATGGCCTCGTCATATCTTGGAGATTTCGAAATTTCAGCTCGAATGGAAGCCATAAAGGGTACACGTGTTCACACAAAAGGAAGATTAATCATTGAATGTCGAGTATTTGAATAGCGTTTTGTGTAAACTAATTCATGCTTGATCGGCCGCGTGCGTGCGCGTGTGTGTATACACACACACACACACACACACATTTTTTTATTTATTTTTTTTCCCCGGAATTTTCAGAAAAGTCCACTTTCATCTCTGTACAAAGTACAATGAACCTGACTCCCTTGGCACCACCAATAGCTGGGGATTCCATGGAAAGGTGGGAGCTTCGGGCCCGGCTGTGCCCCTTGGGCGCAGATCACCGGCCACCTTTTGGCCTGGCTCCAGGGGGCCCCGGTGTCCCGCCCCCCAGTGAAGGGAAACTTCCAAAGATATTGTTCTCTCTTTGTCTGGTCCCTCACTTTAGTCATAATTGGCCTGGTGTCCCTACCAGGAACCTAAGGCCTCCAGCAAATTAGCTCTTATGATCACTGGAACACACAAGCTTAAGTGGGAGACAATGTAAGTGAAATTGGATCATTTTTCACAATATCCCTGATGATCTTTCATGGCACATTTTTTTTTGCCATGGTACCCTGGTTGGGAATCACTGTTCTGCGTGTGTTTTGTGTATTCCTGGTACTAAATGACAGAGGTTGATAATCCATGAATACCTCCCTGCCACTCCTAAATCATATCGAAGTACACTTATATCGTATGGGGTATAGTCATTCATACTTAATCATTAATATGCGTCTCTTGTTTCAGTACCTGGTGACCGAGTGGTTGAATGAAAAAATTCCTGGAGGGGAGAAGATCCAACAAGAACTGCCTGTTGAGCGGCCACTGCGGATAACCACCGATCCAACGGTGCTGGCCACCACCCTCAACATGTTGCCAGGCCTCTCGCACTCATCTGTTATCTGCACCACACCCCGACACTATGTTCGCTTCGGCTCCCCTTTTAATCCCGAGAGACGCCGGCCCCGTCCACTTCAGATGGACGGCACTTATGGCTGCTTTAAAAAGGTGAATGATTTATTGTACACAGGCTGAGGGGTATTCATTATTGAAACAGGTTGTAAAAGCCTTAATGCACACACAATGAATATACAATGGATATTTACGATATCAGCATCACTCTAATGACAATGCTTCCTGCATCTTACTGTAGAGATGGATAAAGCAGGTGGAGGATGAGAGCTGTTCGGCCATTGTGGCGGATGGCACGGAGTCCACCTCCTCCCAACAAAGCACCAGCAGTAGATCCACCCCCAATCCATTGTCCAGTGGTATACAATTAACATTCCTCAATTTTGAATTCCTCACACAATATGACAATTGTTTATTTTCGAATGATTTGTGCGAGACTGGATTGTCTACTCACAATTTTACCTGTCCTGTTTTTTTCAATAGAATTGAATGCACCTTTCAAGAAGCGCCATGCCAAGTATATGACAGAGACATTGCCGACCGCCTCTGACCACCTCCTTCGTCCACTGTCACCCATCACGCCACCTCTTCCTGAGGACCCGCTGCTTCCACTTCTTCACAATCCCTGTAGCTCTTTATCGAATGGACTTGCATATTCACCAATGCCCTCGCTGCCAGTCAGCCGTTGCAACACACCACTACAATTTGAAGTAAGAGTACACACATCAGCATAAGCCCCCCTACCCATGTTCCCACTAAGCTTAGAATGTGAGCAATTACGCACTGCTCTAACCTTTTCAGCCCACAGCAAATGTGCAGCGTATTCAAAAAAAAGTTCGACATGAGTGGGATTTACATTTTGTGTTTTCATATTCTCCTTATTTAAAGAAATTGAAGTTTATTTGGTACATGTAGTTCACGAAGTGGTAAGGAAATATAAGATATCCTTTATTTGTCCCACATTGGGGAAATTTACAGTCTACAGAGATATGCCACCAAAAAAAAAAAAAAAAAATACAAGGCCAACACCCGTGTTGGGTAATCATTGTGTGACGGAACAGCTCCATCAATAATGGCTGGGCAACACAAGTCGACGGTGATGCTGATGCACACCATGCACACACATTACATTTCTTTCTTCCTTACATTTCATATCTTCTAAAAATGGTTAGAAAGCAGATCAGCAGCCGGGACGTTTAGCACAGCGGTTAGTGCTCAACGCTCCTAAGTCGGCATCCTGGGTTTGATCCATGAGTTGAATGATCACCGCAAGTGTAAAACCGCCACTAGTTACACATCTGCCGCCAACAATGGAATGAAATCCAAATAAATGTTGTCAAACAAATATTTACATGACACGAGGTTTCTGTCACGTTGAGCAGTGAGCACATAGAGAGATGCAAAGACGTAATGAACATTTGGTTCGATTGACATAACTAAATTATCGAAGACCTTACTCTGCTGTACTTCGCATTGTACGGGACGGCTAGTTTATATCAGATTAATATTTGGGTTGTGTGTTTGACACTGGCAAGTTTCTAACACCCCCATGTGTGTTTCTAGAATATATCATCCCCCGAGGCATCGCCTGTTCACCGACCAGAGTCCATTTCTCCTGAGGTATTTCCATTTGTCCGAATCTCATTTTTTAAATTAGTGTATAAAACAACACAATTTTACTAGTTTTTTTTACTGTATGTTTTCAACGCTATTTTTTCCCCCTCTTCTTGCCTGTCCTACTCCTTCACCATCAGCCATATCTTCAGCCAGACTTCGACATCCCTCGGACCCAGTTCCCAGATCTTTCCCTATCCTCAAGCTTAGAGAGCCCCATGGCTGTAGCCTCAGATGACTTTCCCATTCCTGGAGCCTCTTTAGGCAGTGATTGCCAAGACACTTCATCTGTTGGGATCAGTTCCTTAAAGCCAGTGTCAAGTTCAACCTCAGATCGAACCCTCCAAACTAGGGAACAGGCCTTCAGGACAGAGTTCAACCTCATATACACTTGCTCACCACTCAATGCAAACCTGGGAAATACTGTGGCCACTGACCGACGCGTCTCTCTATCGGAAGGAGGTTTCTCCCCTGCGGAGTCTTTACATAATTCTTTGAGTGGCCAGGGGCTGTTTGGGGACGTAGGGCCCGACTGTATGTCGCTATACAGTGATCTTCATTATGGTGGCGGCTACCCAGAAAGTAGCACATCTCCTCACACCAACAACCCACCACAAAAAAAGAAGGCAAGTACACAACATTCTTCTGGTTGATGCATTTTGCTTCAGTTTTTAAGGCAAATAGCATTTTTTAAGGTGGTTGAACCCATAAACAATAGGCTTTAGAAAAATGATTTGTGCATCTATATAAAACTATGAAAGACACTGTAGCTTTTTCCCTTCCTCCCAGTCACGTGACCCTTCTTCTCCTTCAATATCTCCTTATCCCTCGCTGCTCTTTGATACTTTTTGCCAAGTCTTTCTTCCACTTTTCTTCCAAGGCAGAGGGCCAACCAGCATACCATTAGTCTGCTGACAGGGAAGCCAGATTACCAGGCTATAGCTGTAAGAAGTGAATACAAGACAATACAAAATATGGTGAATATTCTCCCTACAACTACATCTGTAGAATTGTGCATGTAATTTTTATATATTTTTTTTTATCCATCTGCATAAAGCACCCACCCATGTCCAAACAACATGACCTTTGTCAAAACATTGAAGTTTTGACTCTAGAGCCATTTATTTTAGTTCAGACAAAAGATGACTCAATCATTTTCAGAGCTCTCGGAGCACCATTTTCCCACTGATAAGATTTGATAAGGTCACACGTCAGATCAGGACATTTCCTTGGCAGCAGTATGGCGGATCCGGTCATCTTTCATCAGCCAGTCATCTTCCGACTTAAAGGGATTATTGTCCATTGCCAACGCTGGTATTACAGAAGAGGTCCAACTTCCCACCAGTTACGATGTTATTTTCTTGTGACACAAACAGCGGCACAAGATGTAGTCCAATCAAAGATAAAATAACAACGACTTTGTGTCTGTACCCATTTACTATATTGTGCCCAAACATCCAATGTAGCTTCAGTCAAATTGTAAAACATGGGGCAGGCACAAGGGAGTGTCAGCATTTCAAGGGGCAACAGATCCAGAGCCCAAAAAAACGGATTCCCACGGATCCTTAAAAAGTCTGAAAAGGCATTAAAACCATAAACCTAAAAACAAGGCCTTAATTGCCAGTAAAATGGCTAATATGACCTTTACAAAAATGTTAGTCGAAAATAACTAGGACTCTTCTGATTGTCAATAGTCTCAAATCTCAAAATAAATTAGCATTCCTTAAAAAAAGTATTTACTGGTAACAATTAGGACAGCAGAACCAACAAACCAGTGAAGTGGTTTTAGGCGGGATTCTTAAGAGCATGCACCTCACGTAAAGACTGCAGCAACTTCGGACATCATGGACATTCAGAACAGTGAACAGTTGGTCTGAAATGTAATTTCAAATGGCATTAAAATTATTTTATTTAATTTAAGTTGTAGGAACTCTGCAAATGTTTTTCTGTGTTGTACTTGTTACAACTTTGAAAAAACTTTGCTCAGTGAGGATGGCACACTCATCGATGAGAATTCTTGTATAGATTTGAGTTTTCCGCTAAGCAAGTGCAAAGGTGTAGCATTATAATTTTGGAATTTTTAACTGGAGTTAGTTTTTCAACTTGTTTTGAGTTTCGTTTTTTTTTTTTTAATGTTTTCAATGCGACTTTGTATGTTTTTTAGTTTTAGTATTAATTGTTTCTTTTAAAAGTGTTTTACTTGTGTGCAACGTGGAAAAAAAAAACACCATGGTAAGTATTGTGTCGTAAAAATTCAACCAAAATATTATTTTAACACCTTTTGCAAATATAGGTTACAGTTTTACAGTCCATGAACTTCTAATTACAATAAATGCCATTCATATTACCGCTTCTAAAATTAGATGCATGCAACCAAATCAAATGAAAGACCTCCCTTTTTTTAATCAGGGTGATTTACAGTATATTCTGGCCAAGTTGCCAACTTATAAAGTGGATTTGTGGCTTGAATTCCTGTTAAAATGTATTAAACCTGGTTGTACATTTAAAAAGTATATATATTTTTTTATATACTCTATATATTTGTTTCATATACGAAACCAAAAAGGAAAGCATTTTTTACTGTGTGTTGTGTTTCAGGCTGAATTTAATGACAAAAGTTGGGCATTCAAGCCAAGACCACGTGCAAACTTGTCTCCTAAGAGTGCCATCATCTGGTGGCTCTTACTTCCAGATGACTGTTTGATTTTCTCTTCTTCGGGCTAATAGCCGTGCACGCACGTCGAAATAAATACTTATTTAAAATCCACCCCAAAAGCCTCGTGTAATAATTTAATTGTCAAAGATGAAAACAAAGACTTTTTGGCAATGATTTAGATTGACTTATTTTCAGGGATGAGATTTTTCCGCGTTTTGGCGGAATTCCGCTTTTTTTCCAGTCAAAATGGACCTACCGTATTTTCACGACCATTCGGCGCACCGTATTGTTGGGCGCAGTCTCACTACCGGGTGCTATTTTGGTATTTTACACATAGACATAACGCACTGTATTATTGGGCGCAGTTTTACAGTGGTAAAACATACGCCAGCTTAAACATACGGCATGCGTGCACGCACGCTAAAAACACGTTAGCTTGAAGCATACGGTAGCATGCTAAGACATACGGATACACGCTAAAAACACGTTTTTAAAAAGGAAACGGAAGCAAAACTGAGTTCGGTTGCATTTTATTTAGCCAGCTTACAATGTACTCACGTGTTTTTTATTAGTATTGTATTAACTTCATGGAATTACGTCAGCTAACTGTAGTCAAGGGAGAAAAGGGAGAATAGCTGTCAATTAGTATTAATATGTAGTGTCTACTTCTTACTAGCATTATATGATTTCGGATTTAGCTTATCATAGACAGAAGGAATAGAAAGTATGGCCGTCACTCGTAAAAAGCAGGAAAAAGGACGTATGGTTGTCTAACACTCGTAAAAAGCAAGAAATACAAATGCTGATCAACGACACTTGTTAAGCCGACTACATGCCTAAGCAAGAAATAAAAATGCTGACCAACGACACTAGTTAACCGACTACATACCGAAGAATATGTGTAGCAGGAAAAGGGCTATGGCTGCCTCGCGTAGATAGCAGAAAAACAAGTATATAGTTGTCAAACAGAGAAATATATGGACCAGAAAACAGGAAGTAAAACGCAGGATCAGCAACACCTGCTAGCCAACTACATGCCAAAGAATGTGTCGGGAAAGAACTGAATGTATGATGATACTTGCTAAATCCATTTGCTATGGTCTCCATCAGATCGATAAATGCATGTCCCATTGTGTTAATAATGACATGCCCCTTTATGTTTTCAAAGGACACGTGGTAATACTTGAAGCCCACATGCATTCACACGAGGGCCCGGCAGGGGCAAACCCACATGCATTCACACAAGGGCCCAGCAGGGGCCCCCATTATATTTTAAAAAATAGAAGCTATTGTGACACCATTATAATTCAAAACCAAGATATGAAGTAATTTATAGATACCATTAAAAACTAGCCAACGAAGAAAGCCACAGCCAATCAGAATCACACAACGCATTATGACACTGTTAGAGTTGATTACGATCAAGAGACGGCCCAATGAAATTGGAGGGGTGGGCCCCTCATACCGTTATAAAAACTGTGTTTAACCTCGAAAGAATTCAGAGTTTTCCGATGTGCATATCTGTACCTCTCCGAGTTTTTGATTGAATAAAGCTCGTTTGTGACCAGCCTGCACCTCGGCCTCCGGACTAAGTTTGTACTTGGTTTTTGAACGATCTCGGCATCAAGCTCAAAGAAACTTCTGGTGTGTCCCCCGGTCTGCGGTTCAACAAAGGAAAGTCAGTTTTTTCCTCCTTTTTGTGTCGGCCCCCCCTGTTTTTTTTTGATCGAGAGGATGGAAAGCTTTACAGAGTCACGCAACCTCGGTGAAACACCGAAAACAGACATTTCTACTTAAAAGTAACTACTCGATCTCAAGCGCTTTTGGACAGCCTGGAGCATGTGTAAAAACAAGAGGAGTTGGCTAAAAAGAGAGTGGAAAAAGACGGAGAGGACCAATATACGCTTTTAGCGCTTGCTAAAAAGCTTAAAATGAAGAGAAAATAAAGTGTTCTGCCTCATGAAACTGTATATTGTTGTATATACTGTAAATAGACATCCACTTTATATAATAAAATACATTCATAGCCCATATATAGTAAACAGTGTGGGACTTCACTATCACTGTATGAGGTAAGAATCAACAGCTTTTTATCACATTTACACACTTTATGAATACAAGTAATATAAATCTTATAAATATGGCAGGGAATGTTTCCTTTTTTAGTTTTGATTTTGAGCAGCAAATTTGAAGTTACATATTGGTGCTCACTGGGAATGCATAAGCAAAATTGCACAAATTTTCACTTGAAATAGTGAACAATCTTGGGATTTTTTTCTGTTAAAGTTTCAAATAGTGTGTAAATTGAATACACTTCATCTTCAGCATGTTTAGTGCCACTTTTGTAAGTGGCCACGCCCCCACCCAGGCCACGCCCCCGTCCCGGCCACGCCCCTTCCGTTTTTTTCATCACTAGCCACTCTCATCCCTGTATTTTGTAAACATAGAGTTTTTGTTTTTTTCCAGAGCGTTTTTGTTTTTGTTTTGATTTTTTTTTTTTTTTTCAATTTGAGTTTTAGTTTCCGGTATTTCGTTCGTTTTTAATGAACTAAAATGACCTTGGTTAAGGGTTCCTATCTGTAAGTTGAATGTCAAGTATGTGATCAGCGCATTTTCATGCTGTATTAGTGCATGCCGTCTTATAAATTAAACAGTAGTACAGTACAGTAAACAGTCGTCATGCCCCCATTTTCAGCGCACTGTTACATGCACTTGTAGTGACTGTTTGGCTCGCCGTATTTGCACAGTCGTAGAAACAGAATTCCATTCTCCTGTACTGCAAAGCAGAGTTTTTGCGGCCCTTCGGTAGAACTGCAGTATCATTTGGGATTACTGTATCTGAAAGTATATTGATGATTTATTTTTTGGAAAAGGATACTTGGGAAATGATACCGTGGTTTTACAAAGTCAAAAGTTTCAATAACTGTTCATACTATATCAATGGTAGCGAGTTCTTCCCTTCTTTTTTTAAGGGGACTGATAAGCAGCGCATAATAGGCTGCTTGCAGAGTTGAGTGAACAAGAACCATCTTTGAAGTTAAAGGCAGAGAATGACGGGGTTTTTTCCCCCTGCTCCTTGGCTAGTAACTATGCATGGAGGAGGAGGAGGGAGGTTAGAAGAAAGAGAGTTACACGCATGCTTTTGCATTCCTCTTTAAAAAAAAAAAAAAAAGTGCATTTGTGGGTCCCAGCATGTCCTCAAGGACAATGTGAGTAGCCCCAGGGTCTGTTCTAAAATAGCTCAGCAGTGATGTGACACTGTGACTTGCTAAGAATTAAAGCACAAGAAGGATGTCATTTGTTTTATTTTCACTTAACATG